CTGGCAGCACCTCCACCTCCTCTTCGTCTTCTCCTCCGCCACCTCCTCCTCCTCCTCCTCCTCTCTCCCGGGACGACAAGGGGCCAGGTCTGGGGCTGAGGCAGTTCCGATGGATCATCTTCTCCTGCGGCTCTGGAGCGGGGCTCCCCACCGCTTCGGACAAATTAGGCACCCTCTTGCCAACTAGAGCGCCAAGTTGTGTCCCTTCCAGAAACATCACCATCTCCTTCCTGGTTTCCATTGTGGCGTTGCTTAAGGGAGGGGGGAAAAAAAAATCCAGATCTCTTCCCCCCCCTCCCTCCCGCTCCCGTCCAGCCTTGTGCAAGCCCAGCAACCCTCTCCCGCCGATGCAGAGGAGCAAGTGGTGAGATAGGGTGACCTTGTGATGCGAGCGCTACACTCTGCTGTGCTGCTCTGGGAGGGATCACCATTGCCCTCTTCTTTCTAAGCTGTCATCCTCAATGGTGCAGTCGTCATTACAGTACCACCGGTGACGCCACACATTGATTGCCAGTGGATAAATAGAAACGTCTGCCACGGGGAAGATGAAAGGAAGAGCCGGAGCTAATGGGCTAAACGCGTGATGCACCAGGTGTAGGAGCCCGAGATGGAGAGAGAAGTGTGAAAAAGAGATGCATATGGAGCTGAGCTGCAAAGAGATTGTAACATGCGGAGAGACTTCCGCAGGGGGAAACCTTGCCTGACAATTAAATAGCCTTTTGACTGCTTTAAGCAACACCCTTGATGTAGAATTGAGGCGAAGATCCTTAGCCGCATCCTGGAAGTGAGAAGATACGTACTCAAGCCTTTTCCTTGGATGCATTGCTTATTGCTGGTAATCAGCTTCTGCATAACTGCATATAAGGCTTTAAGAATCTCTTGCAAATTTGAGGATAAAAAAATGCGCTGCACGACATTTGAATGTAGAAATAGCCGTGACTTCTTGTTCTGGTTCAATAGCGATTCCTATTCGTCTAACTGTTACTGCTTTCTGTTGACTGAGATTAAAAAATCAGTATAAAATTTGGAAATGCGGTTACATATTTATTGTGTTTTACAGTTGTAAAGACACAACTACTTCACTTTTCATAGCTGTACTTATTCTGGCTATCTGCTGTTTATCTTTTAGTCTTATTTCTTCCTTCGCAGTTTCCATTTGTTCCACGATTCTTGCGCTTTTAAGACGGTTTTAAGTCTCCTCCCCTTTCTTCTTTTTCATTAATTTTTTTTTTTTGCATAAATTATTATCTGCTTTCAGGGTGGAAAAACTGCAAGAAGAAAGTCTGCTAAGAATAATTCAGACTCAGAGAAACGCGTTATCAAGGCCAGATCGTATGCCAGCTAGCAGATGTTGTTAAAACAGAAGTGACAAGGGCAACCGTTTGAACAGCACTTGTCTGAAAATAACGGACCTTGTACCTTAAATATAGCTGCACACGGAGTCTCTTTGGCGTATTATGATATTTCTGATGAGTGCGGCAAGTATCTTATCTCTAGTTAATATTGACTCACACGTGTAGTGTCAAGTCATTGTCACCATCTGTCGTAACTAGGTTGTTCTAAATTTTTTCTCAGAACGTTATTGGCTAGTCAGGTTACAGAAAACATTCAACCAATTACATTCCCAACTCGGTAAGGAATTTACTGGCATATTTGAGGTGACGTTGCTTCGGTGGGGAACAGGCAGCGCAATAGGAAGCAGGCTGGGATTTTCTGTCCAGCCTTGTGAGCAGGACGGACACGATGCAGGGAGACAAACAAACAAGCAAATAGGGTTCCCGATCCGCTGGATGCACGGGTTAAGATGTGCTCCCAGCAATAAGCGTACTGATTTCAGGGGAATTTTTACAGGGCTGTCGCCACCAATCTCTCTTTTTCCCTGTGTAGACACACACGCACGTTTCCATGCACATGCACATCACGCGCACACCACGCTCCGGACCGCGCTGCTTTTCATCACACGTGTGACGGTGCACTGCTTCCCAAGCTTGCCAATTTCTTGAAAACCCATTGCTAAATTCCCTTTTCCTTCTCTCCTTTGCCAGCCT